TCTTCATCTTACAATTTGTATGGCAATTTGGCCCGGGGTTGTGGTGTGATAGAGGAGAATGAGGGATAATCCCACACAGGAGTTCTGAATGATGTCTGGTTCACATTTGACTGAATAACTTCACCATCACACAGGGTATGCAGTCGGCGATGGGGTCAAAATGCTTGTATGATCGAGGGCCTTTCAATGAATCTATCGGCGGGTTCTTATTCGAAAAATCGAGCGAGTTCATGGTGAAGCGGTTGAAATAATGACTGTATCATTGATGCTGATACTATGTTCAATTTAATATAAATAAAACTGAGTTAATTCACTTTTTTTCCAGGTTTAATAAGAAAGAACTAAGTCTAACTCTTTTAAATAAAGAGATTAAACCCAGTTTGAATATCAATGACTAGAAGTATGATTAAACTTCAAGTTGAATTTTAAATATCATATTCAGTAAAGAATTATCAAGACAGAGAGACTACTGAATAGTATAATCAGACTATTAAATACTGAGAGAGGTCTATTCTTTCAGACTATAAGATAGTTATATATAGTCTGTATTATCTCAGTAGCTGATTATAAAGTTCAAGTTTGATGAAATAATCAAGATAACTTCACTGAACTCTTTCAAAGTTTATAAAACAGAGCTTTGAGAAGAATTCTGAGAGTATTCAAATCATCTTCTATTAAAGTAATGAAAATTAAAGCTTCAATTTCATCTTCTACTATTCAATTTGAAAAGTTCTGTATGAACTATACTCTGAGAGTCATGAAGATGAGCTTAAATCATATAATCAGAGAAAGAGTCTCTTCTTCATTTTCATCAGTTAACTCAGAAAATGAACTGAATTAAAATAGATTTCTTGATTAAAATGAGAATAATACTTTAAAGAAAATGCTCTCTCAACTGTATAGACTATATTCACTTATTAAGAATCAATTTTCTTTTTATTAAATATTGAGAAAATTGATCATGAGAAGATATCTCTCTGAAGAGAAAAGCTGAAATCTCTCATAGACTTATAAATAAGTGAACTATCTAAAGAGAGAGAATATGAACAGCATTTGAAGAAGATCTTTACAATTAGTATAAAAGACTCTATTCTGATTTACTCAGATGACTTAAAAAATGAGAATTTAAATAGATTAAATGCAGACATTGCTTATACTGAAGATAATATTAATTTTATCTCAGATTTCTGAAATTTAAACTGTGAATCTGAAGTCTTTATTACTGAACTATTTATAATAATGAAAGCTTTCAAACTTATTGAAATAAAATCTTATAAAAGAGAAAATAGTTTAAAAGAGATATAAATATTCTCTGATAGTCAAGCTACTTTAAAAAGACTTAGAAATAGTCAGATTTATAACGATTAAATAAATCTTGAAATGATTTTAAACTCTGTTTTGAAAATTCAAAAGAGAAGAATATTAAAACTGATAATTCATCTATATTGAGTTTCTGCTCATATGAATATTTATAATAATGAATTAACTGATTCAGCTGTAAAAAAGAGTTTAGAATTAAGCAGATCTATTTAAAAAACAGTGTTCTAATCTTTTATAAAGAGAAAGATAAAAGAATCTTGTTTAAATAACTGAAATAAAAGCTGACAGAAACAAAAGAAGAGCATACATTATTCAAGATTTGAGATATAATCAAAGTGAAAATCTTGTTTAATTCAATATAAAAAGACAATATTCTTATCTATAATTCAGCTGAAACTAGAACATGATTATTTCAAATTCTATATACAAAGATTTAATGATAGATTTGATTCAACAGAGTGCTCATTCTGCAATACAAATGAAAATCCTAAGTATATTGTAATACATTGTGCATTATACAATAGTCTCAGAGTCAGATTAAAGAAGAAGTATGATTTAAATCAATTAAATATGAGGTTCTTATTCTCAACTGAGACAGAAATTAAATACTTAATAGACTTTCTATTAGAAACTAAAGCAGCTATAAGAAAATGACTGAATTCAGAAGTATCTGAATATGAAGAGACAGAAATTGATTAGATATAGTCTGTTAAAACAGCTATATACTATCTTTTAATAATTTTATTTTATTATAGTCTCTCTTTACTGTACTTGTTTTCTTCTATTCTTTTCTATCTATCTATTTAATGTGTTTATCTTTAAGACTATGTTCTTTTTTTCTTTATCATGATATTTTCAAATGATTTCAAAGTATCAGAAGATGTTAAAATACTGTAATTTATAAACAGTTTTTATATTCTGAGCTGAAATTTTCTGATTTTATATATCTGAAATTGATAAATGTATAATAGTTGACTCTATAGATATAGAAAAATCTCTAAGAATTAAAGATTTTCAGATAGATGTTATAGTCTCTGACTGTATACATTTATAATTAAGAAATAATAATAATAATAATCTTATTACAGAGCTAGAATGACTGGTAAGTAAGCTTCTATCTGAGAACTCAGTATTCACTTTAACTAATTATTTCTCTTTCTTACACATTGTTATGCATTCAGATATAATGCAGTCACTCAGTAGCATCTTAACATGGGAAATCAAGATGCATGAGTTTGAAACCCGCAGAGAATACATTAAATTCAGAACTCAAGCACCTCAGGTTTCTAATAAATACAGAGATGTACAAATTGCTTCAATGAATTACTCTATGTTTCTGAGCTGAGAAGTTATTATCGCATGTATCTAATTGTCACTTCTTTGTATTTTCCTATGTTCTTGTTATCTTGATATGGTCTCAACACCTGTATTTCCTCCTGTATAATCAACACTTAACCTGTATTTAACATCACGCAAGGACTTATTATAAGCTCCGCTTGCATTTGAGTATAATGAAACAATAATAATAATAATAATAATAATAATGCATTCAGATATCTCAGTGAATAATCATTTCTAATAAGAAGATAATGAATGTTTTTCTAGTATAAGAGGTCTACACTGAATAGATCAGTATAATATTAAGAGATCTTATATAATAAAGAGAAAAATATTAGAGAAGAAAAGAAAGAGAAAGTATGAAAATCAGTGATTAAGATGAATATTTATACATGTATATAATAGTGTATATAGTGAAGCTTCAGAGTGAAAGAATCTATATATGTTTATAGCAGCTGAGAATCAGTGATTGAGAATGACTGAGAATTAAAGTATACATGTTTAAGAATGAAGTAGAAGAATCTATAAAGTGTAATAAAATAATCTATATAATTAATCAGATGCAGCCTGTTACAATTTTATAGATTATTAAGAAAAAGATTATAATATATATCTTCAGTACTCTGACAGAGCTCTCTATAATAAATAATAAAATAGTGAAAATATTTCTGAAAAGTAAGATAATCACTATTTTTAACTTATAATTTTATTAATTTCTTAAAGATATTAACACATTCTTCAGTTAGTAATATTATATATTTAATATTAATCTTATTTCATAGAGCTGTAGTATTATCAGCTTCTAAGATTTCTATAATAGTTTAAATATTTTTATAAGACTTAACAGTATATATCTATATAGAGACTTAGAATAGATCTTTCACTTCTCAGAATTAATATAATATATAAAAGAGAATTCTTATTAAGTTTGTAATAAAATATCAGTTTTATTAATAACTTTTATATCAGTTAATATATTAATATATCAGACTTTATAATTAGAGTTATTAAATATAATCACTGATTTAATATCTAGTGTATATTTAACTTTCTTCTGATATTTTCATAACTTATTTCTCATAGTATCTCTTTATACAGAAATAGATATAGTGAGATATTATATAATATTAACTATAACTATTTAATTTCAGTGTATTATCTGTATAAGATTTATAAAATTATCTGCAGTGTAATAGATAGATTAATTTAAATTATCATTAAAAATCAGTATTCTGAGAATAAGAGATAATGAAAAATTTAATAAATTAAAATAAATAGATTCTATAAATAAATATTAACTCTACTTTCTCTTATTCTGAAGCTTCTTTATTATTTTATTATTAAATTTCATACTCTGATAAAAACTGATATCAGTCTTATCTTATAACTCAGAAACTTTCTTATAATAAGTAATTATTCTATTAATAAGTTATTTAGTAAAGTAAGTAATTTTAGATCTGAAGCTGAACTCTGAAGTAATAGATAGATTACTTATATTAAGATAACTCTACTTCTTCTAGATATATAAAAAGAAAAAAAAATGATATTCTTTACAATAGAGAATATACTTTTTCAAAAGTATATAAATCTACTAATTAATAGATTCAGAAAAAATGAAATATCTCTAATAAAAAGTAAGAGTCTTCTTAAAAAAGATAAACTACTCTTGTCAAAAATATTAGTATAACATTCTAAAAAGAAAAATATGCCATTCAGGCTATAATCTGTAGAATAGTTGAAGATTGTATTGATAGATCTATCTACAAGAACATAATATAGTGGTGGGTCACGTGATCTGGTGGGATCGCTAACCGCGACGGCCGTAACGGCCAAACAGTTAAGCTCACGCTAAACAGTCTCATAACCTATAGGCTAGTTACTAGGCCAAAAGAGGTCACCACCAGCGCACTGCTGGTAGAAGGGCCGATCAACCCGGGACCCCCAACAATAGATTGTGTACGGATAATAGAAGAAGCAGATCTTGATACATAAGATTCATATGTTTCCAACATATTCATCCGTGACACCCACACAGGGATTCATGGAAAAAATAGCAGTTCGTTGGGTGGATGAGTTTGTTGGGTGGTGAGTCACGTTACAGACTGCCGTAGGACAGGTCCGCTGGTCGTTCGGCATCAACAACCGCCTCTTCACAACTTTGCCGAGGACGCAAAAGACCACCAACATCATGTTGATATACCTAGGTATTCTTCTCGCAAATATAATCTACAATGTTTAAATCATCTTATCTATAATTTTAGCAGCATTAAATTTGTCCTCTAAAAAATTGCTGTGGTTTCTGGGAAAGTATCAGTAAGAAGTTGTTCCCTACCTACGTCGCAATGCCAGCCACTAAGACCATCTTGCGCCGGGCTCTACTATATGGTAAATCCACCTTCATATCTTCAAACTGACGTCTCCTACGAATCGCTAACTCAATATCTCTCCTCATAAATAGTCCCAGGCTCCTCTCAGCGCATGCTGGACAAATCTCGTACCCTCGTCGCCGACTGCGTCGCATATGACCTGGAAGACAGTGTAACGCCTACGAGAAAAGCCGAAGCACGCACTTTAGTCCGCAATGCCATTAACCAACCCATGCCCTCCGGCATAAAAGAGCGCGCTGTGCGCATCAATTCCGTTAGCAGCGGGCTGGCCCTGGCTGACCTTACGGAAGTGGTGTGTACAATATACTCATCCCCCTTTCCTACCTGCCCTTGACTCCTCCATCCATAAGTTTAAGACACACATACTCACCATCCACAACCCTCAATCTAGCTCCAATCCCCAAATCTAACAACTGTCGTTGTTCCCAAAGTCGACACCGCGACCGACCTCCATTTCATCTCTGATCTAATATGCCACACCCGCTCCAGCCTCAAACCCACCCGCTCCAATCCGGACCCGTCTAGCAACCCCCCAATCTCCATCATTGCCTTAATCGAGAGCGCGAAATCAATTCTAAATCTGCCTCAAATCTGCGCCGCCACCCCGCATCAGCTATCCGGCCTAATCTTCGCTGCAGCTGACTTCTCCAAGGATCTAAGCATAACCCAAACTCCCTCGCTAACTGAATTCCTCTATGCACGCTCTGCAATCGTCACCGCCGCCCGTGCGTATGACTTGCCTTCCACAATTGACCTAGTATGCACGGACTTCAAGACACCTGCTGTGTTGGAGGATGAGGCGTTGAATGGCAAGCGCATGGGGTTTAATGGCAAGCAGTGTATATATCCATCTCAGGTGGATTTGGTGCACAGGGTTTTCAGCCCGGAGTCGAAGGAGGTAGAGTGGGCTGTGAGGATCGTAGTAGCTGATGCAAAGGCGGCGGAGGAGGGGAGGGGCGCATGGACGTTGGATGGGATGATGATCGATGTGCCTGTTGTGGAGAGGGCGAGAGGGATTGTGAAGAGAGCGGAGCTTTGTGGGTTTGATGTAACGGCATTGAGGGAGAAATTTGCGGGCGAGGAGCCGCAATAGACGCTGGGAAGAGTAGAATGTTGGGGGTTGGTGGGATTATTCTATAGGTATATTTACATTTGATCTATTTTGCCGACACATCTAGAGTTGATTGGTAAATTCTGTTGCTATCTTTATGCTGGGATATTATAGAGGTGAGGTGTCTCCATATGAGCGAGGCTCGTACTGTGTAGAGACATGCCAGATGCTTTTTTCCGGGGCTGGGCTTCTTACGAGTAACTATAGAGTGATTTGAAGATCGATATCGACGATCGACGCTCCGTGGTTGATTCCGCCAAAAATAAGGAAAGGGTGGGAAGCACTCCAGAAGCGTTCATATTATTGTTGACCTGGACAGAAAACATTATCCTCAGAACTCGAAAACTATCCCACCTGTCCCTGAAATAACACGTGACCCACACAGAGTGACTCCAAGCTTAACCTTTATGCCTCCTGAATCCACAGTGTGCATCCCTTCACAAGAAGAATATTATACGTATGATCATCTTTGTTGTGGTAGTCGCTAGCTATCCTTCAGAATCGCCATTGAGAGATATCGATGTCGTACGTCTTTGAGGTTGGTAATAAAAATACCCATAATATTGTCTGTATGTGCAGGTATACTGACTCTTTATTTTTCAGCACCTCGACTCTTGTCTCCCAGTAACCGCGACTCAAGTGGTTGATAGTGCGGATGGTAGGCTTATTCTAAGTGGCTATGGGCCATATCTACAACTGATTGATGAAGCCAGTGGTACACTACTGGATCGAATTCAAATATTTGAGAGAAACAGTGTACATGGTATTCAAGTTGCCAAGTTAACATCAACGAAGTCCTCTATCAATGTTGCGAATTTTCTCATCTGGGGTGGGCAGTCTTTTCGACTGCTGAGGCTGGAGGTCGACCGTCATGGAATTGGCTCACTGTCCCCCCCTTCTAGCCCCGAGTGCGCCGCCCCTGACTGGATTCTGTCTGCAAATTTCTATCGACCAGAGAACAATGGTCTCAATTCTTCCACAGCAAATAGAGCATGTCTGATAACTGCTCATAATGTTCTGTTCGGGTTGGAATTGGAAGATGACTTTGTAACGTACCAGGCAGACCTCCGACTGCACCGGATAGGAACGGGATTGAAGTCAGTTCTATATTCCGCTGATGTCTCATGGCTATCACCAGAACAGATTCTAGTGGCTGCAGGAACGGTCTTTGGGGAAATAGTTGTTTGGTCATGTATTCTACCTGCTGAGTCTGGGTCGATCTTCTCTGGAGACTCTTCCGCTGTGATACACCATCTTTTCACTGGACACGAAGGGTCAATTTTTGGAGTGGATATATCGCCTGAAATCCAGTGGCAGAATGACAATCAGACACGGAGATTTCTGGCCAGCTGTAGCGACGACCGAACTATACGGATTTGGGATATATCTGACTGTTCTTCGCCCGCTTCAACCAAAGCAAATGCGATGGCAACTCTAAGGCCCGCAACACGCTCCACTGGATTTGGAAATATTTTCCGTGATGATTTGGACATGGACCCCGAAGTCTGCATTGCGAAGGCATGGGGTCACGCCTCTAGAATTTGGAGCGCGCGTTTTGTGGATATGGCTGTATCGGGACAAACCGAGTTTTTAACACTCGTGTCTTTTGGCGAAGATGCTACCTGTCAAGTTTGGGGGTTGAGATTACAAAACGACTCGCCTATAGGAGAGAACTTTTCTTCACATAGGAATGCAATTCTTCAAAATATGTCAACCCATGCCTATCATACGGGAAAGAATATTTGGTCCATGGCAGTACATAAATCATCGGATCTGACGACTATTTACACCGGAGGCGCCGACGGAAGTATACACTCATTCAGCATTGGCACAAATGAAGCTTCCTTTAAGCATGGGACGCGGGTAGAGACATACGATATATATGATCTTTCCCTGCGTCTCCCTGGCTCCTTAGCTTCAATGGCTGGTCCAAGGCGCAGACAAAAATCGGATGACAAGTTGAATCGATACTCTTTTGTTTCGGAAACTTGTATCATCGGGTTATCTTCCCATGGTACGATGAACATGGCTCATATTTCAGATATGAAAAGTATGGAGCCTCAACAGATCGAGCAGGAGGATATTCCAGCGATCTCCTGGGAGAATATTGCACTTCTGGATTCCCCCGCATCTCAGTTTTCTATTGCTGGCCATCCAGAGCTAGGTATAGGGATTATAGGTGACGTGAAAGGCACTCTCTGGTGGTACATGAATGACACCAGAGAAATCCTTACATTGACTCAGTTGAACAAGAAGATAACAGGTATATTCTTCGCTTCCTCACAGACGGAATATTATGAAAAGGAGAGCCCTATAACCTCGCTCACCTTTGTCACGACATCCATGGGAACACCAAGCGCAAATTTATTCTTTATCGGCGACAAAAGTTCACCTGAGGACTTTACGAACATAGCCCTGGATCTGCCGCCCACATTCCTAACAACCAGTGCTGTTTTCATTAAACACAGGTCGTGCTTATTACTAGGGGCTAAAACTGGTCATCTAAGTGTTTTTGACCTGAAAACTGCCAAAGCCTCTCACCCGGTCGTTCCAGCGCTCACCGTTTACAACGTACATGCAAGGGACACTGTAACATCAATCACTGTGCTACAGCAATATCATCCTCAGGACGAACGAATTTTAACTACGGGAAGGGATGGGTATTATTGCATCCACTCACTAGCTAGGACCGGTGATGGTAATTCTCCCTGGACTCTCCAAACCATTCACAAATTGGCCCCACCATTTGGACCCTATATCGAAGGCGGTTACTTTGACAAAGCCACGAACGACTTGATACTCTTCGGGTTTAAAAGCACGGAGTTTATCATATGGAATGAGTCGACCCAAACTGAACGAACAGCGATTGAATGCGGCGGCGCTCATCGGATCTGGGCCTACAACCCATATCACGCGAATGGTGCATACGAGACTTTTGCATGGACCAAAGCATCTACCTTTAACTTGTTTAGAAAAACTTCCGTATTACACCGTGCTGTGACGATTGGTGCCCATGGGCGAGAAATTAAAGTAGCGGCTATTTCGGAGGTTCTATTCGAGGATGGGGAAAGCAAACATAGAATTATTGCCACGGGAGGGGAGGATACTATGATTCGTATATCACTTCTCGACGATGCGGTCTATACCAGGTCGCGCGGCAGTTTGCGCTGCCTCCGAAATTTGAAGAAGCACAATGCCGGTATCCAGCACCTACAATGGTCACCATGCGGGAAGCTTTTATTCAGCAGTGCCGGAGCAGAAGAATTCTATGTCTGGAGACTTCGGTCAATTCCCGGTTTCGGAATGGGGACCATTTGTGAAGGGGAATGTCCCAAGACAGCAGAAGATTCCGACCTACGGATCACCAGTTTCGATGTACTAAAGGTTTTCACTCAAGAAGACATCGAGGATTCGTTCGTACTCTGTTTAGCATATTCCAACTCAACTGTCAAGGTAAGCGTGACCCAGTTTCCTATCATTGATGCTAGCTAACAAGGAAGGTTTTCCACTACGTCTCCGGTCCTTCTGGTGGCTCGTTTAGGCTTCTGAGCAAAGGCCGATACACAACTAACTGCCTTACACAAATACAATTCTCCAAATCGACCTCAGGGTTATCATTGATTACTGCATCTACAGACGGACATGTTGCCACATGGGAAATATTCGAGAGCCTCAGCGATATGTATTCTCTTGCTGACGATATTCCGAAAGAACTCCAAGGCAAGAAAACCCCCACAGAACCCCGGATAATCAGCTGGCAACATCGGCACTGCATCCATCAGAGCAGCATCAAAGCCATGGAGATATCTTCTCTATCTGACGGGGAGTATCTAATTGTGGCTGGTGGGGACGACAATGCCATCTCAATTTCCCGCCTTAGAATCGGTGCCACTGCGAAGTCGGACACGACCAAAAATTCATTCGCCACGATTTCATTACCTCAAGCACATGCCTCAGCTATAACTACCATATCTATCCTAGAGAAAAATACTCGGTTGGAAAGTATGGACAGTCAAGTCTACCAAGTATTCGGGTTCCTCATCGCATCGTCGGGAAACGACCAGCGACTTAAACTCTGGTCAATCCAATTGGACTCTACGAAACCTCGCGAGGACGGAATTAGCGTGTCTCTACTGCAAGATGTGTACACAGCAGTTGCAGATATGGCATCTATGGGCAGCTTCAGAAGCCATATCGGCAAGAGTGACGATAAGGAGCATGGAAAATTAAAGGATGGCTTAGTTCTCTGCGGAGTTGGGGTAGATTTGTGGTCTTTGAGGAACAAATAACATGCATAATGGTGCAGAATACTGGATTGGGTTGACTGCAATTCTGGATATTAGTTCTCGACTTCAAAATTTTGCATGATCAACAAACATATAAGTAGAACTCACTCGCTGCACCCTTCTGCAGCGGGCTTAGTTCCGCCGTGGTTAACCTGAGACAAGCGGGGGATCGCTAAGGCACCATCGTCAACGAGCCCGCCTTCGCTCACAACCCTGTACACGCATAATTAGATCCAAGCTCATGAACCTTCCGTATCCCTGTCATGGATGGCTGCCGCCTGGACAGCGGTAAACTTCGTCACCTGAGTTCGTGTTAAATGGGTTCGTATTAAATTAACACTTCAAATCTACGACGCCATTCCTCGCGAGCATTGGTGGAAGCAGCCCGTTCTGGATATCCGGTGAGGGGTAACAGCTTCAACGACATCACAGACACCGTGTAAGCTGCGCATATATAATTATACATTAAGAAGCCGGAATCGCGCCTTCCAGAGGAGTTAACCCACCCATACAAGAAGGCCAAAAGAACGGAGACAGAGGATGGCGACCCAAACCTTCACCAAAACCCTCACCAAAACCCTCACAGCTCACTGTTTCTGCCGCGCTGTCCACTACAACCTCACCATTCCCTCCACTTCTCTCCCGCTATCCACGCTTGTCTGCCACTGCAGCATCTGCCGCTACGTTCATGGAGCACCATGCGCCTTCCACGCGCCTCTGCCTGCGGGTATATCCCCACAATGGGTCGCATCCTCAGGCCCACACGCCCTGACCAGGTACAAACATACCAGTGGCGCCCTCTGCGAGCGTGCTTTCTGTAGCACCTGTGGCTGTCAAATTGGTGACATCTGGCCTGCAAAACCTATCAACAGCAAGGAGAAGGAGGGGGGGCGGGAGGCGGAGGCGGAGGCGGAGGCACAAAATGCCTCTGACAATCAACACTGGACTGTTTCCACTTCCATCTTCACCGACCACAGCCCAGCCAATTTCCAAATAGACAAACATATCTTCACCGACTCCGCCCCGGGCGGGGTGGGACTACATCAACTCCTCCCTCGTATCGGCGGGCACGATATACAAGTATACCCGGGCCACTTCCTCCCACCAAATGCTAAACGCATCCTACTCCCCGCCCCAGCACCGGCCAAGGTCGAATTGGGCGGTGCAGATGGTAAGGAGGAGCGGCTCCGCGCGGAATGCCACTGCGGTGGGGTCTCCTTCACGTTCCCCCACCCAACACAAGCCATCCTCGACGATCCCGAACTGAATGCATTCGTCTCACCCACCGATCCGCGCAAGTGGGTCGCGTGCCTGGATCTCTGCGACGATTGTCGCTTGCTGAACGGCACGCATGTGGCTGCGTGGACGTTCCTGCCGCTGCGCCTGCTAGAACCGGCTATTGGGACTGAGTTAAACATCGGTACCACAAAGACGTTCAAGTCTTCCAAGGGGGCGAAGAGGGCGTTTTGTGGAACGTGCGGGGCGACAGCATTTTATTGGAATGAGGATAGACCGGATATAGTGGATGTGGCTCTTGGGTTGGTGAGGGCGATCGAGGGGTTATTTGTAGAGAGCTGGGTAACATGGAGGAGCGGGCGGGTGGCGTTCAAAGAGAGCGGGGAGTTGTTTGATAGGGATTTTGCGGAGGCCATGGCGGAGGGAATTGAAAGATGGGGGTTGGAGAGGGAGGGAAAGGTATTAAGTTTCAAAATTGGGTGAAGAGGATAGGTCCCCGAGAATGGCAGGGTGGCTGTGGGTGCGTTGCAATGCCCGATGGGTTAATAGGAAGAAAAGATCTAGTTGAACAGAGTCAGTCAGTAACTGTGCTACGGAGTCTAGCTCCGCCGCTTCTTTAAATATCAAACATCCGCGATCACTGAGAATCCGAAGACCTATTTTATATATGCCTATGGCGATTTAATAATGACCCTGGCAAGGCAACGTTTTGAGTTTCGAGTCTGGAAATTCCTGACTCCAAAATCTGAATGGGTGAGACCTAGAGGTGTAGATTCATGAACGGCAACCGTTTAAAGCTCAGCAAATGAGCACGCATGCGGCCCTACGATCTCAGCGCTGCCAAAGAGTAGGAATCCCAGCACCAGGAGCAATAAACGCAGTCAAATCATAGACTTCGGCGGCGGGAGGTCTTCCAACGTTCAGCTGTAGAATACCGGATACTGTTGAGGGAGGAAGTTCTTCTGAGTTATCAACACGCACAATCATTTAATCGGACGCGGAGATCCGCCCATGAACTCGATATTCCAGCTTTTAAGTGCATGCCAGAAAGTCACAGCACTTGCCCATCAATATTGTTTTTGTCTTCGCGTCATCGTGCTATCGTCATTAGTCCGGTTGAACGAGGGCGAGGGAAGTGTTTCAGGTTCGTATCCTCGCATTTCCGTTTCTGCAAGGTACCGTCAGCCGCTCCTTGTCCGGAAGTAGACGCTGTTTGCTGTAAGGATATATATAGAATCAACTTCCTCAAGCCAGTATCGTAAGCAATCTTCAGTTCCACGGATCTGGGTATTCGCTGCTCGCCTTCACCTCGACGTAGCCGTAGCCGTAGCCGCCTTGGAGTCATGAAATCAGATGCCGTCACTGTGAACAAATATGATAGATCCGCAGGCGGCGCTGTTCATATGTAGACTGGATGTAGTCACAAATCCAAGCATGGAACTTGAGAACGGTTGGAAACGTCAAGAAACAGATGTTTGCGGTGATTCCCTGCCCGCTTGGGACATTGCGACATTGTTGGAATCATTAACCCCCTAGGTTGATCTGTTTCGATCTTTGAGCCCCGTGGAGTGTAAATATTTAATGGTTATATTTTTCGCATGGGTTGTGTTGTGGTTGTTTGTCTGTTGTCTGTTGTCTCCGGGAATTTTGTTTGTGGTTGGGGAAAAAAAAGAGAAAAAGAAAAAAAAGAAAAAAAAGAAAAAAAGAAAAAAAGAAAAAGAAAGAAACAAAAGAAAACATCGCCAACTTGGCATCTTCAACTTCATCCTCAGCTCAGCTTCCAGCTTCCAGCTTCTACTCCGTCGTACTTGTTCCACCTCAATTCATTTCTTAATTTTACATTCCATACCTCCTTTAATTCTATTCTATTGCAGGAGAGGTGTTTTCAATTTTTTTTTTTTTTTTCTCTCCCCTTCGACTATTAAATATTTAGACTTCCCTTCCTGAATGCTGTTGACACCTCGCCCCTCGCTCCCCTTTGTGCATCCCGTGAAATATGTCCGCAACAACAGCACCACCACAACTTAACGAGTAACAGACGGCCTCAGTGGGATAAAATTATTATTATATTTACTTTTCCTTATATTGTATTCTATTTCTTTGGACGCATAGCGTCCTATCCGTTAGATCCCTCCCATGGCCATACCACGCTCCCTCCGAAGAACGAATCCTCTCACTCTCATTCTAGCTGGTCTACTCTCCGTCGGGTTCCTCTTCTTCATCTTCTCTCCTTCGTCGAATTCTGCGTCTGGTTCGACTTCTCAAGGACGGAAAAGCTATGCGGCCGCGAACAGCCTCTCTCCTCCTACCAAACCCTTCCTCAGAGATCCCTCGACCAAACCGAATGGTCACCGTGCGCCGCCCCAGGTCGTCCGATATAATATGAACAAAAATACTGCGACAACCGAGTCGGTCAAAAATCATGAGCGTGTCCTCATCCTTACGCCTCTCGCTCGATTCTACCCTGAATACTGGGACAATTTGGAGAAACTTACATTCCCACATGACTACATCTCCCTGGGATTTATTATCCCAAAAACACCGGAGGGAAACGCTGCGGTATCAGCATTGCAGGCTGCTATTAAACGGACCCAATCAGGCCCTGTCGTTAATAGATTTGCTAGCATTACGATCCTCCGACAAGATTTTGATCCCCCGATTGTTTCCCAGGATGAAAAGGAACGACACAAATTTGAAAATCAAAAGAAACGACGGGAAGCTATGAGTCGGGCACGGAACAGTCTTCTCTTTACAACTCTGGGGCCGTCGATATCCTGGGTCCTCTGGCTCGATGCTGATATTGTTGAGACCCCTCCAACCCTGATTCAAGACCTGACAAGACACAACAAACCAATCATCGTACCCAATTGCTATCAGCGATTCCAAAACCCCGAAACAAACCAGATGGACATACGGCCATATGATTACAATTCATGGGTAGACACTGCTCGGTCGCTGGAAATCGCGAAGGCCATGGGCCCAGATGAAATTATGCTGGAGGGATATGCAGAACTGCCAACCTATAGAAGGTTGATGGCGCACCTGGCCGACAAATCCCCAAACCGAAATGTCGATGAGATAATGCCACTTGACGGAGTCGGGGGAACAGCGTTGATGGTGAAGGCAGACGTTCATCGCGATGGTGCAATGTTCCCGGCATTCCCATTCTACAACCTGGTAGAAACGGAAGGTTTTGCAAAGATGGCGCGAAGGCTTGGGTGGACGTGCTTTGGATTGCCTAATTATTTTGTGAGTTCCTCATGTTCATTTTTGAGGGTGCCATATGGCACCATTCTCATAAACCTTACCGGAGTGCATGGCATATTTCCACTAACACTTCTTTTTTGATTACAGGTATATCATTATAATGAGTGAACTGATTTCCATCCACCATTTTCATCATTAATTTTGCACTTACGCATAAACTGGTTTTTAGTCAATATCTTTCCGCCCGCTCCTTATTTCATCGTTCATCCCCTTCTCTTGCTCTTGATTGATCCGGTCCGAAATTTCCCTGTTTCCCTTTTTTTCCCATTTACATCCTTCTGGGTCCTGGAGTATCTAGTTCTTTATTTTGCAATACCTCTTTTGTTTCATTTTTGTGATCTGCTTAGTTATGTACAGTGAAGCGGTTCCCTCCATGTTAGGTCTCCATGGATAGCTCAATGTAAACTTTGTCGCAAGCTACAATACCTGATAGCAAGAGACTTTCTACTACTCCGCATCGTTTACCTACGTAAATTTTTACGCTAAAAGAGGCGAGTATCTCTTGGGCCTATTTTCGTGCTATCGATGCATTCCTTGTCGTATTACAAATTTAGATTTAAGATATTTTCTAGTCATTTGCCTGTATATTGGAAATCTGACAAGCATTATATACTCTATCGTCCTGTGTATAACTGTAGTAGACCAGCTTATGTTGGTCATGTCGAGCATTAGACTTAAACAAAAGGGTTGCGAAGGGCTGCGAGGAAGCATGCTACTGACTACTGACTCTCTTTCGAGTATTAGCCACGTCGTCGATGCTCTTATTTTTCCCTTTTTCGGTAATATTGAGTCCAAAGGGTAACTCCCCTCGTTCAGGCCCATGATATCCTTGATAAAAAAAGAAAGAATCAGTGAACTGAACGAACAATGCAGGTATATAATCACCAATCAAACTTACCAAAGCATAATGCCCGCCCCAGCCGCCATAGCAATAAATTGCTTTGCCGTCTTCCTCAACTCCTCCCCTTTATTCTTGCCCGTCTCCAATAATTCAGGAATAACTGCAACAGTGCCGACATACAAGAATGTACCTGCAGTGAAGGGAAGAAGCAGGTCTTTCATTGCCAAACTCGTGCCCAGAAGGCCTGTTTGTGTCGCCATCGCCCCAGCATCTGATAAGTCTCCTGCTTCACTTTTGCCGCCAAACTCCTGAACCGCAATTCCAATGAAAGTTCCCAGGAAGGCTCCAATGGCAGTGACGAATTGAGCACCCATTGCCTTGCGCTTGGAAAACCCAGATTGGATCAGTAGTGCAAAGTCACCGACCTCATGGGGGATTTCATGAAAGAAAACAGCAACGGTCGTTGTCGCGCCGATGGTCGGGGATGCATAGAAGGATGAGGACATCGCAAGCCCGTCGGTAATATTGTGAGTAAAGTCCGCAATTAAGTTGAGATATCCGCCTAGCTTGGTGCTGGGGCTTACTTCCTTCTTGTCGACCTCTGAGAGGTTATTATTATTGGCCTCTGTTTTGGAGTCTGACTTGCGCTTCTTTAGCTCGCCCACATTTTCCTTGTTGGAGGTTGTGGAGCCGGAGGATATTGCGACGCTACCTTCCGCCGCATGGGTATGGCTGTGGCTATGATCGTGCCCGCCTACTCCTCCGGTAGCGATGCGGAGCCCCTTGTCCATCGCCACAAAAGTCATGAACCCGACAAGAACAGCAAGGCCAAGGAGGATGTTTCTATTTGGTTCGACGAGGACAAAGCGGACATGTTCTGGTGAATCTTCGCCTAGGAATATCTCCGGCAGCAGATGGAAGAGCGTATCACCCAGAAGCCCACCAACCGCAAACGCAACCATGATGGATAGGGACGAAGGATTGATGTCTGGAGGACATAATGCGAGGAGAAAATCTGCCAATTGTGAGCGGGGAGCAGTGTCAGGACTCGGTTTATAAGCAGCATACTAGGTGGCCCAGATATGTAGAGTGTAGCTAATATAGCATTGACTGCCGGGCTTCCAGGGAAAAGAATCGTGAAGAGCTTAGATGTGAAGCTTGTGGTTTCGGGGCTTGATGCAAGTTTATGCGCGTTCAGTTCTTGGACAAGAGGGCATTCCTAGTTCAATTAATCAATTAGCTATGAGATCCCACCATCTCCGGTTTAGATGTCAGCAAAACAGCCAGTTCCGTACTTGCAGCTTGTCTTCTATCTGTGACGCTGAGAGCTGTCCAACTGGTAGCGTCTGCTCGTGTGAGCTTTTGGTTGCGGCGAGACACGAGAGGAGCAGAAGAGTGATTAGGAACAACGCGCGATGGCGCTGCGGAATATAGAGCACCATCTAAACAGTTGCGCAGCTTTTCCGCTTAATATTCAAAAAAGGATCGACGTGACAAGATCTAGAAATCATTTAGGTATAAATTTCAACTTCTCGCAGGTAAATAAATAAGAGGCATCGTCTCAGCGCATTATAAGTCACGTGATACAGAGTGGTGCGGGCAAGGGGTTTTCAACTAGAGCTAAATATAGTTACATGTCCACAGCAGATACTTTCATCTGCTCTTGCCTGCCCCAGCCAAGCTATCCAACTCCTCCGGCATTCATTGTTCTTTACTACGTAGACGCGGATGTGGAAATTAGAGAAATTAGAGGAAGACGGAAGAAAGACTAGGAGAATAAGTGGAAAGAGAGGAAAGCGGTGTCACAATGGAAACGAAGAACTCCTTCGACCACTGGAAGTCAAAATAGGCTAATAAAATATAATAAATCTAGAAAAGAAAAAGAAACGAAAAGAAAAGGCGAAGCAGAGAAATTTAAACCGAGAAAAATAGGAGACAGTGGAAGAGGTTGAAAAAAAAAAAAAAAAAAAAAAGGAAAAAGAAAAAGAAAAAGAAAAAGAAAAAGAAAAAGAAAAGAAAAGAAAAGAAAAAACTACAACACCCCCTTCGTACTCCCCACCTCCCCACCACCCCCAACCTCTCCCTCCACTCTTCTCCGGCAAGCCTCTCTCGTCGCCACCGCAACAGCCTTAAAAGCACTCTCCGCCCGATGATGATCATTATCCCCGTAAACGCAACCAACATGCAACGTGACACCCGCCGCCTGCGCAAAGCTCTCGAGCGCATGAGGAATCATCTCCGTGCTCAACGCGCCAATCTTCTCGCGCTTCAGGCCGAGGTTTATCACACTATAGGGCCGCGAGGAGATGTCAATTACCGCCCACGAGAGGGCTTCGTCGAGGGGAGCGTCGCCGCGGGCGAAGCGGACGAGGGAGAGGCGGGGGCCTAGCGCTTGTTTGAAGGCGGTGCCGAGGGCAAGGAAGGTGTCTTCTGCTGTGTGGTGGTCGTCGACTGCACGAATGAATCAGCATTTTTGCCCTCTTCTATGTACGTGAGAGGGTAAGAGGATATTTGCACCCATGCATGAGGAAACGGACGGACGGCGGGAGAGATACGCCATCAAACATGTAAAAACAGTATCGGGGAAACATGTCAAAGAGAGAAAAAAGAGGCGGGAGAACTAACTGAACAAGTCCCCCTTACACCGCACCGCCAAACTCCACCCAGCATGTTTTGCCAGCGCATGTAGTAGGTGGTCAAGGAACCCGATGCCGGTATTTATAGTGATCTGTTGCGTAGGGGTGAATTGGGTGGAATGCCGTGCTTCGGGAACGGGTACTATGCGGGTCGCTTCCTCCGGGCTTGCCTGTGGAAAGTGCTCACATGTCTCATAGGCCGGAAGCACACCGCCGTCAAGGGAGAGCGAAACTTGGACCTTTGTCTCGCCGGTTAGGCGGGTGACGGTTGTTGTCCGGCGGGGGAGGGACATGGTGGGTGGAGTGAGGTGTGAGGGGCGAGGAGGGAAAAATGGTAGTATTTTTCGTGTGCGATTTGTACGTATGCTAAAGTGGCCCGTGGGTATCTAATCTAGGCATTCAATTGGGATCTTATTATGCGATAGAGGCACGAATATGGTGGTGGATGATGTTGTCGATGAACTTGTTCCGCCGGGAGGAGAGTGACGAGACTTGGCGGGACATTTTTTTTAGACGCCGGACAAATGTATTTCCGGGTCCCTTTCTCCTCCTCGGCAATTGGTTATTGTCATTTGGAAGTTTGCGGCGAGGACGGACGGAAACGACGAAACGAGACGAGAAGACAGCGAGGAACAATCAATCTCGAGGATCTCGAGGCATCTATTTGTCAATCTCTCTCTCTGTCCATCTATTTGTCTACCTGCATACCCTTCTCGTTCCAATGTGTGTTGATTATAGGTTAATCGCTCCCTGTTGTCAAAGAACGCCGGGGCTACCTCTAATCTAGCTCCCCGCTCGGCATCTGCTGACCGTCGTCCGTCGCTGTCCGCCAGACAGGAACTCATCCATATATGCAATCGAAACCCAACATATCTCAATTCTCGCCTACAGCACTTACGGACTCATACATATAAATTATCACAATGCCCGCCCCTTCCAACCAGCGCGGAAACATTGACCCGCCCCCCGAAGTCATGCAAGAAGCACTGAAGGGTTTCTTCACTGGCGCGACTCGTGTACGTTAAACCTATATAACTAGATATAATTTGTATACACAAAAAAAAAAAAGCGGAAAATGGAAAAGCAAAATAAAAACCCACCCTTTGCCCTTGATTCATCCAGCCCAAAATCAGAAAGATAAAAAAAAAAAAAAAACCCACAACCACTAACGAAAAACGCTTACTCCTTCCAACCCCTTCCAGTACGGGTCGATCTCCCTCCTAGCCCACCTAATCCTCCTCCTCCCACACCCACTCCGTTTCGCGTCCTCCCCATCCCCATCTAACGCCTCTTCGACCCCAACTACTTCCAGCTCGCACAGCCAGCCCGAGCCCAAACCCAGACCACCCCCGCGCACCCCGCTCCTCTACCGCCCCCTAACCGCCCTCTCCGCCAACCTCGCCCCAATGTCACGCGTCTACCGCGGCCTGACACCTCAATTCAAGGTGTTTATACAGCTAAGTGCGATGACGCTAGGCGGCTGTATCTGGGCGGAGAAGAGGGTGAATGAGTATTTGGATCGTATGAGGAAGGTGAAGAGGGCGGAGAGGGTCGAGGCGGAGGCGGAGGTGGAGGGGTGGAGGTAAAAGGGATGGGGAACGGAGTAGGGGTCTTTATGGCTTTCCTTTCTCTTTTCCTTTTCCTTTTCCTTTTCTTTTTCCCTTTTTCCTTTTTTCCCTGCAGGGTGGATTTTGCCTGTACTGTATAAATATTTAGTTTCCATTGCAAATCAAACCTTTCCTCTCTGAAGTTAATCATGAAACGCCAGATCTCGCAAAGTAACGGCTGGAATGGGCCGCGTCCGAGGTTCCACCGCAAATTTCTAGGTTTTGTCTCTTAGGCCGCTTTTTGCCATGGAGTGTCAAGCTGATATATTCTCGTTTCCAGAAAGATGTCAAAATGCTTCGGATTCGGCATTGTTCTCTTCTATTGACCAGGTTTGCCTTTAGGATGCCAGACTGACCAGTGACCTCCATATTGAGTAACAGCGGAGATAGGCACGTTGGCGCCGGACAACCTCTGCATTTGCATCCGTCTTCTCTAGAATCGCGAGCAACAATAGAGCGTATGCCGCAAAAGGTGGATCGTAGGTTCGCGTAAAGTCCCATAGGCTTTCAGAAGTCGACGAAGGTCCACGCTACGGGACATGGTAACTAAATATCTTAGGGTTTGATTCTAGGTTCGCTTCTGTGTGCTTGATATCACCACTGTTAAGCAGCTACTCATTGACCTGTACAGACCTATGTCTCAGTGCACACGACTGAATAAGTTCCCACAAAGAATTATAAATCATTAGTTGCGGAGAGTAGATCTGACATCTCCCCCAATCATTTGATGTTTTATCCCAATATATTACGTACCTGAATGTGAGTTTTGAGACCAAAGTTGCTCGGTTTGTGAAGCGAGCCCGAGGTTCAACCTTTTACTAAAATTGACAGTTTCCAAGACTCAAGTTAATTAAATATTTACCAGTGGCCATGTCAAAGGCTAAAAATAGTTGATATAAAATAAATCAATCAATCCCCGTTCGCTCATCTCCACACTCACTAACTCATCGCAGAGGATTTAGTACTAACCAAGTAAATAGTAATGATATGGCGGTGGTCCTTTGATAAAATATCCTCTGCCTCGACCGGACAAACTGCTTAACTACGTACGACTAGTTAAGTAACTATAAAATCCCTACTAAAAATGGCTTCCTGTAACAGGCGCAAAACATGGCGCAACCTCAGGTATTCAAGCTATGGTTTCCACCCTATCTAATAAGAGCCATCTGAGTTACTTTCGACCGATGATGATCTCCGCTTCTCTCCTCCATCTCCATTCCCCAGCGTGCTCGCGACGCTTGCTTTATTATTGAACGAATCCCTTTCATTACATGATTGATTCGTCTTCAGCCCAAAGCAAGAGGATATATATATATGGATTCATTATTTTCACGTTGATACCCCGCATGCCGGCTATATGCGCGCTCACTCCAATCGTTGCCTGATCACCTATCAATAATCCTTTTTATATTATATATATATATATATTAGCTCCATCCTGTGGCGGGTCCAGGGCCTTTCTTCTCTAAGGCATCATTTTCGTGCGTCTGGTCTCCATCTTGCCTATAAGTTTGACGCGTGCTCGGCCGGCAACCGCTTCTCCACGAAGAGAAGAAGAAGCCAAAGAATATATCTGACCTTACTCCAGCCTGATAGCCGGTATCATGGATGCAGAAACGCCTCTCCTCGAGAATGTGATGACTACGCTCGGGTACAGCTTGGAAGAAGATGACCGGCCAATCTCGCCCTCGTCAATGTCGCCTGAGAAAGCTGGATACTTTCCTAAGGGTACATTGTACAGTACATGCCAATACATCATACCTCTCTCCATTGAACCTTGATTCTCCCGGAACACGCAAAAGCTGTCGGGATCACAACGTATCAATTAACTAATATACGGTAATATATAGCCCAATGGGCAAACCTAGACCGGGGCAAAGATGCGCCACGATCAAACCCCATCGCCATTGCCCACCGCGGCTCCAAAGCCAAGTTCCCAGAGAACTCCATGAGCGCGTTCATACATGCCATCAGCGCTGGCGCACAAGTCATCGAGACTGACCTGCATCTCTCCCGGGATGGGGAGATCGTTCTATCTCACGTATGCTAAGAAACATTTTCCTTTTCTTATAGTATTTTTTTTTTTTTTGTATTTTCCTATTCCACCTCTCAGAAATGAAATGCCGTTGTGATTTTTTTCCCACTCTGATTAACGAACCGCCATCAAACAAGGATGCGACCCTCCAACGCTGCTTTGGTGTCGAAAAACGGGTCATCGATTGCGACTGGCAGTATCTAAGCTCGCTACGGACGATTAGAGAACCCTTCGACCCCATGCCGCGCCTGGTTGATTTGTTGCGGTATATTTCTTCTGCGCCGGAGCGGAAACATGTAAGGCTGCTATTGGATATAAAGGTGGGTTTATCCATCCGATTTTTTTTTATATATATTTCCATTTCATTTTTTAAAATCGTGCTAATGTTATTTACTACAATAAAATAAATAGCTAGACAACCCCGCCCAAAAAATCATGCGTGCTCTCGCCGACCTACTCCGCTCCACCGCCATCCGTCCAGAACACAAACCATGGAATGAAAGGATAATCCTCGGCTGTTGGACAGTAAGTTTACATCCTATTCCCTATAGCAAAGCCAGCGATATATGTAACCATCTGCTACCAGGCTAAATATCTCATCCTCTCCCACACCCACCTCCCCACCTATCCCGTCTGCCTAATCTCCTTCTCCCTCTCCTACGCCCGCCAATTCCTGCGTCTGCGCGTCCCGCACGTAATCTTCAACCTGAAACTGGAAGCCCTGATGGGGCCCGGCGGGGCGCGCTTCCTCGCCGACGCGCAGGCTGCGGGCCAGCACGTCTTCGCGTGGACGGTGAATGAGGAGGCGCTGATGCGGTGGTGTGTACGGCACGGGCTTGATGGGGTTGTCACGGATGATGTGGAGGTGTTGAGAAGGGTTTGTGAGGGGGAGCGGGCTCGGTGTTATGGGGAGGGAATTGGGCGTGGAGACGGGATTACCATGAGGCAACGTGTCAATGTCTTCGTTACGGCGGTTGTTTTGTACCTGGCGGGCAGTGTGTTCGCTGCTGTTTATCCGGTGGATTTGAAGGAATTCATTGGCGGACTGTATCAAGGGATAGAGAAGGTAGATACCACTTGATCGTTTTTCCAACTTAAGCTTGCAGCTTCGCCATTAAATATAGAATGCTTGGCTGCTGTGTTCGGATCTTCCCACAGGCTGGTAGAAGGGGTAGGGCTTGGTTGAATTTGTCATGCAGCGGATTTCCTTCCATCTCTACATGGCACTGAGAGACAGAGAAGACAGCGACACTACAGCCCGACACCAAACCATTGAAGTATTTGAAGTATGTAACAGTGGGATAAAGTCAAATCGATATGCTCTTTTATTTCTACAGCTTGAAAACTGATTTTTTACAATAAAAGCTGCGAAGGAAAATGCAATCATGTACACAGAAAAAGGTATTGGATTTCAAAAATGTACGAGAGTAGATCAAAAGAAGAGAGGGAAAAAATGCAAAAAATGCCAAATCAGATCAAACGAGAAGGCAAAATATCACCCATCATAGTAGCCCTTTTTTTTTTTTTTTTTTTTTTTTTTTTTTTTTTGGTGCTTGAAAGATGGTGAAGATGGTGATATAATATACAAGGCGATTTCGGCTCTCCGAATCTTGTGCTCACGAGAGTCCAAGAATGGGAGTGGATTCACGGTCTAGTAAGATACGCCGATCGTGGTGGGGTTAAGCGAGGGGTAAACGATCAAAAGGATCATCATATGGGGCGAGCGAGCCGAGTTCAATTTAGTATTCAAGGCTGGGAGTCTGGCCCTTGACGCGTCCGATGACGATATCCGCCGCATATTTTGGGATGACTTCGTCGTCGTGAAGCATTTCAAATTCTAAAGGCAAAAGCAAAAAGGAAAGCTGTTAGCATTTCAAACTTTAAAAACGGAAGAAGGAAAAATCTGCTGATGAAATGGCAGATAAGTACCTTCAGTTGCATCCCTGCCCATGTGGCTGAAGAGAGCTTGAGCACCACCAGGGTGCTCATCGAGCCAATTGGTGACATTCATCACGACACCCTTGACAACAATCCATAGATCATCCTTCTTGTTGTGCTTGGCAACCTCTTCCATTGTGAATTCCTTCTCTGGAACCTTGAAGTTCGCGAGATCAGCAGCACCATCCGCGGCCTTGGCAGGGGCAGCAGCTGCGTTCGAAGGGGCTGCGGGAGCAGCAGCAGCTTGGACAGATGTTGAGCCGCCACTTCCACCGGATGGAGTAGTCCATTCAACCGAGACCTTGCCAGGCTGGGACGGGTCAATATGAAGAGAGATCTGGTTCAGGCGCGATGAGGCAGTAGCAGAGGGGTTGGAGAGAAGCTCCTGGAAGAGGAATTGGCTAGCAGAGTCACCGGCAACACGTCCGTAAACCACGCATCCCAGTAGAGAGGAGCCACCGAGACGATTGGCACCATGAACACCACCAGCAAGCTCACCACAGGCAAACAGGCCCTCGAAGGGCTTTTTCTCTGCGTTCAAGACTTGAGCCTTGTCGTTGATCTCAATTCCACCCATAGTGAAGTGAAGAACGGGCTGCATGAGGGCAACATAGAATGTATCGTCAACGTTCACTGGGCCATTGTGGAAGAATTTCTTGCCAAATGGATCCTTCTTCTTGCCATCAGCAATCTGATTGTACTCATCAAACGTCTTCTTAAGAGCGGCTTCTCCGCAGCCAATTTCCTTGGCCAGCTCTTTGCCAGTCATCTTCTTCATCAGGCCACGACCGGCATAGTGGCGAGTGTGGAAGTCAAGAACATTGGAAGCCTTGCTGTTAAGAATGAGGCGGATGGGCCACTTGCCCTTCTCCTTTTCCTTCCACATCTCACCAGAAACGTAATCTCGGTGGCCAAGCTCATCGGCGAACCGCTGGCCATCAGAGTTCAGGAGAAGGCCTCCCTCACCACGAAGAGCTATTTTACAGCATCATTGTTAGACAACGCAGTACTTTGTTGACGAGCACGTATACCAGGATTTAAGCATACCTTCAGCAGCCAAGAACTTCCATTTGGAGTCAGGATCTTTAGGGTCAATGAGACCGGTTGGGTGGACCTGGACCTTGTCCATATCAATACCATTGGCACCAATAGCCATGAGCATCTTTTGACCATCACCAGTGGCATGGACACCGTTTGTGCTAGACAGATTAAAGGTGTCTGGCCTCCACTTTTTCAAAAGAGAATCTTCCGTGAAATCAGCAGCATAACCACCGGTAGCCAAAACAACGACACCATCAGCTATGTGTGTCTCGCCGTTGTATTCATATGTGACACCAGTGATCTTGTTTCCTTCCTTGTTAACGGCGGTTACGCGGGCCTTCTTAAGCACCTGGACGCGGTTTGGCTCACTTTCCGTGAGCTCCTCGAGGCGCTGCATAAGAGCATATGTGATGGCCATACCGGGGAATTTGGCATCATGGCCACGATGCGTTCGCGGGAAGGAATGTCCTCTATACAAATCAATCAGTCAACACCTAGTCCTCTCGAATTTATCGTCTCTACTAAGCGCATTACAATCACCACAAAGTAGTAGTAGTGAAAAGAGAAAAAGAAGAAAAGATAAAATCAATACGAACCCGAGTCGCGAAACTAGAGTCAGATCAAGGTTGAAGATCTCTTGCAGCCAGTGAATGGCGGAGGCGGAGTTGTAGGTAAGGACCTTGATCAGGTCTGGACGAGCCTTGTCTCTGGCGGACTTGAGGGTATCCTCGTAGAACTGCTTCACACTATCCGCGATGCCTAGATCAGTTTGTGTCCGGGTGAGAGCGCCGTTGATACCTGAGGTGGCCTTGGTAGAGTTGCCGCCAAAGAAGTCTGGGTGAAGCAAGGTATGGGATTAGCTAGATGATCATACGATTATACTGGCAGGGAGAGGAAGAGGAAGAGCAACCACATTGGAAAACTTCGAGAGGAAGCACTATACTTACTTTGCTTGTCAAGGACAAGGACATTGCCGCCATTCAGGTAGACGGTGTGAGCCGCACTAAGGCCGGACACTACAGTATCATAAACCTATTTATTAGTAGAGCCCAAGAGAGAATGAGAACATTGAGAGAGCATGAATCCGGGGAAAGGGTGGCCAGCTTACGTCCACCACCAACGACGATAACCCTGGGAGGCATGGCGGGAGATAAGATACAATCGAAGAGGGGCGGACAAGCGTGATAGCTACTAACTACTTCTTACAGAGAGGAAGCAGATGAACAAGAAGCAGATGATGACGATGATGATGATGATGATGATGATGATGAAGGAGAAGGAGAAGAAGCGAAGAGAAGAAGAAGAGAAAAGAAGAAGAAGAAGAAGGGGAGAGAAAAAAGAAGCGCAGACGAAGAAAGAAGACAACAGACACAATCACAAGCTTTCTTCTTTTCCTCCTCCTTTTCCTCCTTCGTTCCTTCCCTCTGCCTCTCCTCTCACAAGCTTCTCCCCCATCCGGACTCGGCCGAGGTTCGTCTCTTCCCCGGTTTTGGGCCAGGACCGGGTAACTGTCTGACCGTAATTTACGGGGTATTTTTGGTAGAAGGGTGATAATATTACACGCTAAGTCGTATGTAGTTTAGTCTGGTTTGGTCAGGCCCACCTTCCCCAGACGCAGCACTCAGGCAAGCAGACAAGGCCAGCCAATCAATATCGCATTAATAAGTTACATGGTATCACAGATTACAGTTTTGACCCCGTATTTTTGGGCACAGTTCAACTTTAGTGCTCTCTCTAAAATAAAACACACAGTGCGGAGCACACACCCCACACCACACACAGTATTCACATATTACTAATCTAGTCTAACTTGTCTATCAATCCCTTTAACTTAGTGTCAGCACAATAATAATTACTCTGTACTCCGTACATAGAATTAGAATTAGAAGAGAGTTTAAATATGAAAAAAATATTAATTAAGGGTCCTGGGGTGTGGATATAGTTCTCTAGTGCACGTACTTTTAATGAGGTTTAATATGTTTTTTTCAGCCTGAGTGAGTTGGCACCAACGATCTACTTCTTTGCAAAAAGTGTACGCTGTATGCCCCATGGTAACGGCAAGACAGAGGGCTAGTAATAGCAATACCTAGTAACTCTGTAACTACCCAGATGGTAAGAATAATACAGCGTACTCCGTACATTCATTATTACCAGTCATTGCCGTCATGGCGGCCAGAATGAAAGCCACATGATGCTGTTCTGTGATCTGCTGTTGCCCGTTCATTCTAGGTGTTGTAAGTCACGTAGCCCCAGATAGAGCATCCAGCCAACACTCATTTCCATTCCCAGACAGACAATCCGGACTCTTCCGGTCCATCCATTATTCAAACTGAATATGGCAGACATGGCCACCTCTGCCTCTTACAAGCAAGCCCAAGAAACTCCAGAATGAAAAACACATTTTGAGTGAGCAGGAAAGGTGTATAGTGTGTTGAGCGCATCGGCATAACAAACTCTATTCAGAGCAGTGCCAAAAAAGGAAAAGAAAAGAAAAGAAGAAGAAGAAGAAGAAGAAGGGGAAAGAGAAAAATGCTGAATGTTATAAAATCAAATTCAGCAATGCTCTCATGCAGCAGGAATAAGTCAGCATTCATGCCTTAATAAGTTAGTCAATAATGATTTGGTCAGTTGGAGATCGAAGCTAGGAAAATTCGATGATTAACTATGGAAGTAACGAAGTTACGTAGTTAGTTATCCCATTCCATTCCGCTGGCTGGCTGATGACTCTTGGACTCCCCTTGCGGAAACTCGGCGTGGGGGTTCAGTTTCTCCTCCTAAAAGGGAACTAGTTACCTTAGTTGGCTTTTGACATTTCGAGGGGTCGGAGGGGTTCCCTCGGGGGATATCTCTCAGATGTATGTACAGTAAGTATGGAGGAACTTTAGGATAAAATTACACAGTACAGGAGGACGTGGGTCTGGATATCTCAGTATTTCTCTGCTATTTACATGATGATATAGTAGTAACTAATTTAGCTAGATTTTTTAAAACTCACTCTGTACGCAATGATGACGCGATATATGTATATATATACATATGGAGTGAGGGTGGATCCAATAAACAGTATGGAAAGGTTGATGACGCTGGGATTAAACCATCCGGAAGAAGGCAAGAAAAGAGAACACAAAAACAAAAACAAGATTCAGCCTACTTGGCATGCTTCCGATGGAACTCTTTGACCTTCTCAACCTCATCGTAGCTGCCCAAGAACACCCCGCTACGGTCATGGATATGCTCCGGAGCAAGGGTAAGCAGTCTTTCCATGTGCGAATTAAGCGCCTGGCCGCCCGCATTCTCAAACACGAGAGCCATGGGCGCACACTCGTACAGGATTCGCAGCTTCCCCTTGGGACTCTTCTTGTCCGCCGGGTAGGCGAAGACGCCTCCGTACAGCAGTGTCCGGTACGCGTCCGCAACCATGCTACCGATATATCGAGAACTATACGGCTTGCCGGAGGCCGGGTACTTCAGGTCCTTGAAGTACTCGAGCACCCAGTCATCCCAGTACATGGAGTTGCCCTCGTTGACGCTGTAGATGGCGCGCTTGGCGGGGAGGCGCATGTTGGGGTGCGTCAGGATGAACTCGCCCAGGGAGGTATCCATGGTGAAGCCATTGACCGTGCCGCCCTTCATTGTGATGACGAGCTGAGCCGAGGCGCCGTACATGGTGAAACCGGCGGCGACGAGTTCTGTGCCAGGGCGGAGGACGTCCTTGGCGGTGACGGTGTAGTTCGGGGCCAGGGCCTCGTCGGTCAGCTTGAAGACGCCAAAGATGGTGCCGACGGAGACGCCGGCGTCGAGGTTGGAGGAGCCGTCGATGGGGTCGCAGACGACGGCGTATCGGGCTTCGGGGCTCTCGTCGAAGATTATGGCCTCCTCCTCTTCTTCGGAGACGAGGATGCGGCACTTGCCGGATCCGCGCATTGCGGCAATGAAGAGGTCATTGCCGATGACGTCTAGTTTCTTTTGGTCGTCACCGGTGGTGTTGGCGGAACCTGCGAGACCGGTGAGGTTGATCAGGGTGGCGCGGCGGATGTAGTATGAGATGGATTTGAAGGAGAATTGGAGGGCATGGCAGAGAAGGCTGTAATAGAGGTTTAGTCAATTGGTATATAATTCATGAGCTATATATATATATATATATTATTGATAAAAAGGGGATTATGTATTCAACTAACGTGAAATCGCCAGTGGCTTCTGGGTGTTTCGATTGCTCCTCTGTCAGGAAGCGTGTGAGGGAGATGATATCGGTGTTGATCTTTTCCTGGCCCACGGGAGGAGTAGAGGCGCGGTCTGCATCAGCCATGGTGACGGATTTCGGGGGAGAATTAACTGGTGGGGGGGGGGAGAAAGAAAGGCGGCGGGGTGAGCGGAAGCTTGGTGATAGATAGCTGATAGCTGTAATATCAAGGAACTCTATATATAGGAGTGTTTGCACACCGATATCAAGAACGAGACGAGAGAGGAAAGGGAACTAGCTAACTCAATTAATTTAAATTGTCTGAGGAAATAATAGAATACAAGAAAGGAATAGTGGGATATGGTTTCTAGTTGCGTGGGGGGGGGGGGGGGGGCGCCCGGAGAGGAGGAGGACAATATATTATTATTATTATTATTATTATTATTATTATTATTTATATACTTCTGTATAGCCGCGTCCATTGTCGTGATATGATATTGGACTCCGCAGCCAACGAGTCAAATAATAATATTAATAATATGTAACTATGGAGCCTGAGAACCAGCGCGGAAAACGCAGGCAAAAGGCAGGCAAAAGGCTGGGCTGGCCAACCGGGGACCGATCCGCCTGCGTTGGTTGGTTCCCAGCAAACCCAGTGCGTCCCGTGGACAACCGGGCGCTGAAAGGAATGATAATAAAATAATAATAATAGTAATAATAATATAATTAAAATTGAATATTGAATATAAACAATACCGATAATAAGGATAAGAATGATAATGGGAAATTGATCCTATTCTGATGCGGGCTCTGATCAACAAAAAGGGAAAAGAAAAAAGACGGCTCTCCCTCGCTGCTGGGTTTGAGGAGGGCTTGAGGGCTTGAGGGCTTGAGCTGTTCGGAACCCCGCCAAGCCCTCTCCCGAGTCCCGAGTCCCGAGTCCCGGGTTATTTTCGGGGGTCTGGTTCGAGTCACTTTCTTCGGTGTGGTTCAGTGGTTCCCGGCTACTACTATTTTCTCCTCTCTCCTCTCTCTCTAAGCAAAAAGAAAGGCCTTTGTTTGCCTTGTCACATGGGGTTTAACCACTGCGCCTAGAAAAGGGGAGAATCAAACATGATAGCTACAGCAGGGGCGGAAAATGGCTTCAGATCTACCTATAATAGCTATCATGATCTAAATGGGTTCCTTATTCTTGCGATTTTTACTTGTTCAAGAACGGAAGGCTGGATCACATGACGGGTTGATTCTAAACAAACAAACAGTGCAAACAGCTAGGGAAGCTGCTGTAACCGTATTAGGTAAGGCGTCTCGGTAAGCCGCTCATAGAAAAGCTCGATTTTTTTTCCCTCCTTTCACAGCCTTCTTCTCCAACGTCCACAATAATAATAATAATAATCATAGTCAACAGAAACGCAATGTTCTCAACAATTGCATCTGGGAAGCCAAATGGCATCTTAATGCTGTGACCATGTTTTGTCTTCAATTCTCGCCCATGTGTTTAAGTCAGCACTAACCTGGTATGTTGTTCCCTTTTCTCCTGTGTTTCTCGCAATCCTGCTCTTCTCTCTACTTTGGTGATGATCCAGCACAACCGCATAAACTAGAGTCTTTGACCCCTTCAGGGGTGTGAAACTACGTTGCACGTCAGACTGATATTATTTTTGACTTTGATTGATTTTATACGTTTGAGGGTTTACCTCTGGTATTAGCTCGACAAAGTATTACGCTGACAATAAAAAAAAACAGATCCAACAGATCATTTGACCACGAAACCATGGCTTGGATTCTGGAATCACTATGGGTATGCTCTTTCTCCTGTCCACACCACTCTTCAAAACAACCTGCCCTCATATGATGATCAATTTTTGTATAATATACGCTGGAAATTACCGGCCGAGACCTTCGGGTTGTTGACGATATAAAATGGCTATTACTGATTCAAACTCTCACTTCCTCCACTTGTATTCTCACCAATATATATATTATTGATTATCTGCATCCGCTAACCCCCGCCAAGTGCAGCAGATGACCCTTAATGGTCCATTGATCCTAAACAACGCAGCTCCGACTCACTTCGATGGGAGGGACTAGCTCTATTTCCGTAAGAGACTAGCCGTAATTTCCTTTTTATCCCACCCACCAACCATACTTTCTAGGATGAATGGCACTGGGCTCTGACGGTGTTGATATAACAACCCGGTTATGATGGACATGCCCTTTCGTGGCAGGCCTAGAAAACCTTGCCCACTGATTTATTCAAGTCCGATGCTGTCTGCTATCACGATTTCGATGTTTAGATCTATTTTCTAATATATTTTCGAATACTTGCAGAGTAATGGCAATATTTATTGCACACTCACTCGGGGTAAGCCAGACGTGTAAGGTGTGTACATGAACATTTCAAGTGATGGTTCCTATATCATTTCATATCATACCTTTCTATGATGATCCCCTAGATGACGAGTCTTATTCGAGTTTTCGATGCAGACAACCTATTTTTTTATAAATACCATTCATGCTTTTCTGAAAATATTATGTTCCTTTGATAGCATCTATCCATTTTATCAGGGTTTTCACTGACTCCTGCGTAACGCAGCTAACGGATAGAATGGTTACACTTGATGTATCTTCACAGACCACTAACTGTACGTCGCATCAACCACAAGCTTTCCCTACGTCTTCATGATGATACGTGACATTAAAAAAGACAAGCATATGTCCAAGTCGGCTTCCGTCGACAAAGACGATATAGTCCCATACTACCTGATTTGCCTTTTGCTATCGAACATGATGTTGAACAAAAAACCACTGTTCTGGTGCTAACCGTTGAATCAAGACAAAAAACACAGTTTGAGTCCTTGATACAGTATGCCGCAATTCAGGTGTGTAATGCCCCTCACTTCTTTTGTTCCTCTTCTATACTCCCTTGTCTCCCTTAGCGCCATCCTTGCATGATGATTTTTACCTTTTTTTATCACGACGGTCAACATAGTCTATACACTGATGACCACCGCCTTTGACAAGGCATTATATCTGATACACTTATTGCCATTTTTTCTCATTGATCTCGTTTCCTCGGTGCTCTTTTGAAACACCAACGGCTAATAGTTCTACCTAGTTGCAAAACATGGCTTTGAAATGTAGGATTTCTATCCGCTTGTTACATATTACCACGTGCTGCACGAAGCTGCCTGATGGTCTAAGCACGTTTGATGCTGGAATTATGAATGAATGGAGAGAAGAAGAAGAAGGGGTTTGGATATTGTATATTGTGTTTCCTTCGTTGACCATGACCGTAGCCTGCAAGGGTTCGAGCCAGACCGAGATCAACTAGACTTAACAATCACCCAACTCTTTTATGTAGCAATTAAGAATTATTACACAGAATATCAAATCACCACTGTTAGAAGCCTGTCTCTTTTTCAATCAACTCTCTTGTTGCTGCCCTGCCCCCAAGTAGCTTCCTCTTCTCCCCCACCATCCGTTGCGGGACGCTGTGTCCGATGACAAGATTTGAGGGGGTGATAGCACCATTTTATCCATTCCATTATTTTCTCCCACTGGCCTGTTGCAAACATTTTACCAAGTTGTACGGAGTATGGAATTCTACAAATTGGCCAATAATTCTTCCCCCTCCCATGGTCTGAGCTACATTTATTAAGTAGCGGGTGAGAGTGTGGGGTTGGAGTTTGCGCCGTTCAATTACCGCTTCAGAGCACTCTCTTAAATGGGCTGGGTATTTGGAATACTGGTATTGGTCAATTAGGGAATACTCTAAGAACCTGCGCACCTTTTTCTTATTTTTTAATCATTTAAACAATGGAGTTCAATTTCTTGTCGCGGGAACTGGCTGGCTGACTTCCATTTAAGTTGCACTCCTGAATTTGTTGACGGAGAGATAGTTATCCAGTAGTTATACCAGTTTCAACCGTCCCTCATTTCCGCTGGCGGGGCGTGTATGAGATCGTCAGGGAAGCGCTGAAGTGTAGAGGGGTAACTATGAATTCGAACCGGCTTATGATCTTTGAAGAGGACCGCCGGCATCTATGCTTGAACATTGCGCAGCCATATCTGTAGACTGTTGGTAACCAAGCTTGATGAAAATAGGGCCCAATGTTGAGTAAGTGCAGAAGGCGATAGAGGGTTAGTCGGCGCAGGAAGTGCGCCTAATTTTAGGGAGGTCGGTCTAGGGAAGTTTATAGTTAAAGGACGCCTAAACTACAGTTAAGGAACCTGCCAAACCCATGCAAGCCTCTTCGTCGATTGGAAATGGAAACCACCCACAGCTATGTACGCTGCGTACAACGAGGAACAAGAAGTACAGAAGACTAGGATAAATAATAGACACGTAGGGGTTGGGTTGGGCCAGTTTGAAATCCCGCCTGGATCGGTTCTTCAGCGTGGGAAACGCAGGTTATTTTGCCCCCGTCCGCTAGTTACGATTCTTCGCCAACCACCCTCAACCCAACCAGATTCCCAGCACACCGGATTCCCAGCGGAACGGTCCAACCTACGCAGCTGGACCCGACAGTCAGGTTCGTATGGCGGCTGGTGTGAACTATTCTTGCATCATGGCAAATGTTCCGTCCCAGCAGTCAGGGTCAACTATAACATGCGCAACAATAACTGTGCTAAAGGGACCGGCCTCAAGAAACAGGCGGTATGTCGTGCCTACGAGGCTACGAGAGAACAACAGATCAACGTGTACTTTCACAGACCCATGTGGGGGAGAATCGCTGTTTGCTCCAAATGGCAACTAGCTACTCCGTACGGAGTAACTTGGTTAGTTACAGCTTAGTTAATGCAGTGACCACTAACCAGTGGCTAAAGCAGAAATACACCAAGAGCCTACTACTGCGTAGTTAGTTACTCCGTACTCCGTCTAGCTCATTATTCTGAAGCCCGAGCTGCGGCGCCGTTGATGCCCAAGCGACACGGACGGCCAACTCCTCTCACATCCCCGCTACGATGGTTGTACGGACTATTGAGTTGTTAAAATGATGAGAGCCGAGAGAGTTGTGGCTGCTCTCCCAATAACTCAATTAAGGCCAAGAAATGGGAGGCAATACTTATCGAATAACAGGTGTATAACTTACTTTGTCGTCATCAACTCTTTTTCATCGAAACTATCGCTGACCCCCTCTCTCGGGTCAGGCCTCAAGCTTAACCCAAGCGAAGAAAGTCAGGGATGCTAGATTACGCAGAGCAAAGCCCCCCACAGCGGTCTACATGCTTATTCGTCTCCCGCTCTTCCCGGCTCTCTTTGCTTTTTCCCCATTTTGGACAACCCATGGCGCCCCTCGCTTGGGACAGTTGGGACGGTTTGGAGGGGCAGATGAGAGCGTGTGGGTGGGTGGGTAACTAGTTTATCCAGCAGTATGGAAATATAAATGGGCCGATCAATTACTGTTAAGGAAGGTCATTCCCCGTTCATAACTAACTACATAACTACATACACTGCAGAGTTACTCAAAAGGGCACATACAAGAGTTATCAGACCAATAAAACTAGCTCAAGCGCTCGTTACACATGGCATCACATTGCTTGATCTACATGACGTGGGAAATGAAATCTCGTGGATTTTAAAACCGATGCACACTCAGCAGGTATTTATTCCGATCACTTAACTTATTGTTCCCTTCTGCAATCGGCGAGAAGCTGATGGGCGACCTAGGCATGAGCGATGTTGGGAAAATTGAATTGATCTAATTCCTCCCCCCGCCCTTCCTCTTTAACACGAGCCACCCTCTATTGTTTTTCTCTGGATAAGCAATAAAGGCAAAAGAAAAATACAAAAAAAAAAAAAAAAAAAAAAAAAAAAAAATTGGACAAGAAGCCCGGTTACTTCAATAATAACGCTACACATGATAAACAGACTAGGATCTGGATGTTGACGAAGTCCGATCCGCTTTGAACGCTCTGGGCTCCTTCTACTGCGCAGACGAAAATTCGAAAACCTCGCTTCACACGTCCAAATATATACACACAGTGTTCAAAACTCGCTGCTCCTCCTTCTGTCAGACTCTTTTGCATCTATCGGCTCCTCCTCCGCAGCGCATAGACTTGACGGCCGGAAACAGTTGCACTGAGACAGTTATTCATATTTAGTTCACCCCAATTCAACCACCTGGATACCAAAGGGTGAAAGCTGTTCAAGCGGAGTCTTTGTGGATGTCTCGAGACGAGCTCCCATCCACGCCGTCGGAAGGTACATACATGTACATGCTTGCCAGAGCCAGGCTCCAGATACACGACCAGGCTTAATGAATCCGTCAATGGGGGCCCTAGGCATGCCCCGGCCCAGTATGGATAGCCCGCGGCAACATCAACAATGGCATCACTCTCTACGAAGGACACCATTGGAACGGCTCCCGATCGAACTGATCCAGAAAATATTCTTCGAATGTCTAGAAATTAATCTCCCTCGCACATCTCTCCCCATCGCCCTTGCCTTGTCCAACGATGTCATTCATACCTGGCTCATCCGCCTAGCCTTCAGCAGCAACAATGAGTCGGCCCGAACTGGCTTCTTCACAAAGCCTTACCTCCCCCTTGACTACTTTTCCCTCTCAGCTTCGCAACGGGCTTCCCTTCAAACTGAAATCCTCAAGTGCCGATGGTGCACTTTACCTCTCATGCGCAAATGCCAGCGCGAGCATGTGGAACATGTTATACGTGAAAAATGCAAATATCTCAGAATATCTTGCGCCGATTGCCAGAAATTGGAAAATCTCAAGCCATACTGGGAATCCATGGACCGCTTCGACCCTCGGCCCCCTGGGAGCCGGGGCAGCGGTGATCTCACCGTCGAGGCTCGGATATCCCAACCACCAAATATACAGCCAGAAAATAACCCCTCGACATCTACATTCATTCCCATCACGCCCACGCCCGCTCCCAACACCACGAACATGAGCATTATTCTGGGCGCTTCAGCTGCCAGCACGCACAGTGCCTCGCGCAAAATAGCAATCTGGTTCAACTCCGGCTCCGTCCAAATCCGTGAACGAAGCCCCATCTTCCAAGAGACAGATGTCTTCCGCCTCCCCTCCTGTAGCACCCGTGAGCCCTGCCGGATACCCGACCGCCTCCTCTGCCCACCCTGGACACCCGAAAAACTAGAATTCCTAACCCTTCTATCCACAGAAGCATACATCGACGAAAACGAACGGCGCGATCGATCCAAGGCCGTGTTACGGCAGGTAATTGACGACCGTGACCTAGAGACCTTCAAGTACATGCTCGGCATGCACATCCGCGCCAAGAACTATGGGTATCCGTTCCCGTGGCCGGTTCGACAGACGCATTACCGGGCTGCTGCTAGAATGGCAGATCGGAAGGATGATGATCCGTTCTTGAGGATTTTGTTTACGGATCGCAAGGGGGAGGTTCCGGCTACGGATCAAAGTATCAAGGCTCTCTTGGTGAAGTATGAACAGAGGGAGAGGGAGAGGGAAATCTTTGAAAGCTGAAAAATTTATGATGAAAGTACAGTTGATGTGGGCAGTCAAGGGTGGTTATTTTTTCATTTTCATTCTATATTTTTTATATTTTTCATTTTTTCATTTTTATATTTATATTTATATATTTTTTGCTGTTGAAATTTGCTCTTTTGACTTTGATCATCTCTTGCTTCTATTATGATGATAATGATGACATAACTAGTTATCTCCTTCCCGTTTCCAGCTTGAAATGTAACCGACAGGCTAGCTATTTTGATTCGCTTTTTGACTAGCCGTGACGACTGCTGGGTTCATACTATTCATCTCTCATGCCCTTGAAGAAGAAGTTTTACGAGCTTGTGGAATAAAAAAGATTTCCTTTATCAAAACCCTGGGGCCATCAGTGCCAATATCGCCCATCTGAAGCTCGCGTCATATATGATTTCCTTGCTCTCTTAACATCACGAAGGATATGGTTGTAACGAATTGGGATGAAAATAAAACTCTCTAGCTAGCCAGCTTGTATACAGTTATACAATAGCAAAAGTAGTACATGTACCTCATTGATTGGCCTGCTGTAGCAACTGAACTACGAACCACGGATGGGTACATCTGAAATACTCTGCAGTACATATGGTCATTGCTCAGCAACGCCTCCAAATTCCTCCGAGCCTCTTCACCGTGGATCGATACTCGATCAGTGTTGCAGAAATTTTCAGCGCGTCAGTGTCATTGGCTCTGTTGAAAAGTGCCCTTTAATGTACAGTAACTAACTACGTGGCTGCGTCGAGGAGCCAGGCTCCTGGGTATGGACAAAGTACGGCTGAAGGAACATTTACTATTTGTTGCTGATGACGGTTTTTTGTTCTGCCTCTTTAGCTGGGTAACTGTGCGAGAACGAATGGCTCGTTTTAAGTTCTGGAGAACAGGTGGGCGGGCGTATACAGAGTATAAGAAAATATAAATGAATAAAAATAAAATAACAAGGCAAAAAAGAAAAGCAGATTTTCTATCTTTTGGATATATAATTCCAATAGAGGGAGTTTAGATTAGTATTTCTGTTTCTATCTCTTTCTCGCTTTTCGCCGTGAAAGTAAGTTTCGAAAAATGCGTGCCGCGATTGGCAAAGATGCAGGCAGGTATATAATTTGCCTTTTGTTAGTTGAAGGTGCATATCCCGGACATGTTTCGAGGATCGTTGCTCTGAACTGCTCCGAAGAGAATCTGCATTGGCTCTAGAGTTGTCCATGTCAGGGATAAGGGTGGGGCGGGGTTAGAAATAGAACTGAAGAGTATTTCCTCATCACAACACCCACCGATTACTTTTATAAAAAGGAGAAGATCTAGTATGTATGAAAGATGGGGACGATGATAATAGTCTATATACTACCCATGTTCGGCTTTTTTCTGTTTAATCATGCTCAACTGTGACCAGTCAGGCGTCATTAAAAAGGAGTGCAAAAGGCTACGTGAGTGTCTACCCTTGGGCAGTTGATCTTTGACATATTTTTCAAATCCCTCCCACCAAACGTAACATTGTGGATCATCGGGAAAATCACGCCCACGGCGGTAACGCAAAGCCCAGCCGCCCTCAAAGAGCGAGAACAGACCCTGCCTTCGAGGTGGCACTTCAACGAGATAGCTCAGGAGCCATTCACCAAATTCACCAAATTCACCATTTTTTTGTCTCAATGCCCATTCCGTAATTTCCGGGTCGTCATGCGGTATCGATTCCGCACCTCCACGTAGTAAAACCTGCAGAAGACCCGGGCCTTCGGATCGCTTTACAGCGGTTATGAAATGTTCACCGCGTATCTCATACTCGGGCATGTCCACGCCGTTAATAGCGCAATTATAAGCCCTTTCATCCCATGCCAATAGCTCAGACAGAATCCAAACGTTTTCCTCCATGATGGCATGATGAATGCAATCTTGTATTCTTTCCCGTGGAATATCGAACGAAGAGAGACTGGGGTAAATCTCTGCAGGGACATCTAATACCAGGCCATAAGGAGTAAACATGAGCAGGTGATGTAGAAGTTGGAATTTTTCGTCAGTCCACGGCCGCCGTTCAAAAAATTTGTCAGGGATTGTCCAAATGACCATTGGTAAGAAGTGAGCAACCCCCGACGGCTCCATAAACGAAACTGTTGAAGGGCAAATATACAAAGCACAAAGGTCATCAAGCCGGATAGTTCCTGGTAAAATCATGTTCCATTGCCCGGGGTCCTCCTCACCAAGGCGTTGATTCAAAACATCTCTCGATGCGGGATCGAATGCCACAGTTGGTGCACTGGGACCAAAAATTCGTTTCTGCATCGCCGCGTAAAACATATCACGTTGGCATTCCTTGAGAAGAGGTAAAGTGAACCATCGACAGCCGAGGACATCATGCTGAAGCGACTTTTGCGTATCAACATCCAGAGGTACGTATTTCAGAGGCCGGAGAATGTTTGAGATGAAAGAGGCGACGTTGTCGTCTGGAGGCAGCTCTGGAGGTTCATGGTCGTTGAAGAAGGCGAGGAAAGTTAAGATTTTGTAGATGCGCTTCCTGGACAGTATGGCCCCAAAACGCGGCGATGCCCAGGCTAGATTAGGCTCCAGTGAATCGAGGAAGATTTTCTCAATCAATTCCGCTGGCAGAGCTTCGAGGCGGCTGATCTTGGTGCCCTCGGACTTTATTCTCTTGCCATCGCGGGGCGGGATATTTTCCTGAACCTTCCGCTTGCTGGGTTTAACGGGGACACGGCCCTGCGGATACTTACCACGACGCTTTTGTCTTCTTCGCGCCGTCTCTTTGTCCTGAGAGACTGGTATTTTATGTCTCTTGCCCCTGACCCGTATCGGAGTCAGATCATCGTCACCCATGTTTTCTGGAAGTTGATTTTGAACATGGTTTCTGGAGACATGAAATCGCTAGAGAGTCAACTAGCCCCGCCCATTTTGCTCCTTTTCTTCATGCCTCGTCCCCTTAGAACCAAGTGAAGGAAGATAGAATAGAGGGAGCAGAAGAAATATAAATAACTAACTACTCTCTGTGCTGAAATATTTTTTTCATCCTCGAGGTAATTATGTCGTTCTACACCGCCCTCGCTTATATGCCTATATATAGAATAGTGTAGTTTCAAGAACAAGCATTGCATAAAATGACGCTAAACCAGAAGAAGTAAGATGATGTCAGCTTGACGTCACTGTTTAATCTCTCCCGCCAACTTGTATTTCCTGTTTGGGAAAAAACACTTGCCACCAGGTCCCGACGTCAGCGCACAAGAGACAAGAGATTAACCATCCCACAGACAAAAATATATCTAAATATAATTATGACGATGGTCATGGTCGTGCTTGACACCTTCCTACAAGGTTTGATGCTAGAAATGGGATCATCAGGCGTAGATAATTGAAATCATGGCATTTTAGTATAAGTAATTCCTTTCGTGGTCGGGTTTCTATCTGAGCCTGTCTCTCTATATATACTGGGGTAAAGTTCCTCGATTTCAAGGTCGGAGCATAATATCTTCTCAAACAATTTTCATTTATTTATCTACATCTATATATCTACCTACATATATATCATTCGAACCTGATACCCAGAGCCCACCGTACATATTTTCTAACTCTACACTACACAACACAAAGCTGCCTCCCAAATACATTCAAGCTTATAGTATACCCATTCAACATATCCACATATACATACCCTCAAAGCAAACAAGAGGAACAGAACCAGAGCTTCACAATGGGCGCCGTAGTTTCATGCGTGAGTGGGATTTTTCTCAACCGCCATTCCAAAAGTGGCCCTATTCATTTTTTAACACCATTTCTCTCTCATGAAACAGATCCAAGGAGCTCTTCGTTCACTAGGGGCCTGTCTAATGGCCATTGTCAGCACAATCGGGTCCGTAATCACGGCCATCGTCAGCGGTATCGTGTCTGTTTTCAATGCCGTAATCTCTTGCCTGACCTGCGGCGGCGTCTCGAGGCGAAGGAGGAGCATGGGGACGCATACCACCGGTAGACGCCGACATGGATTGACCAGAACCAGAATTTAGAGGCTTGCTTGTGAGAAGACAAGTTGAGCTTGGGGCCAGGAGACCGTGAGGCTTGTTAGGCTGTTGTGCCTTATTTTGATATTTGATGATTGAATGAACGTATTTTTATGGCCAGTTTCGCATGTATTGACAAGATAACGACTACTTTGTGCTTTGTGGGAGATTGATGAGCTGAATGTTGTTCTAATTGAGGAACTGCGACGCGGCCTTTGCGGTGTCTTTGACTACCTGAACACCCCATTGTTGTCTGTCGTTGTCATATCGCCCTGTACAGTACTCTATATCCCATTTCAACCACACATTGCTTTTGTATATGCCTTTTCCTTGTGTTCTGAATATGGTTTTCATCAAAATCTGTGTGTAAAATTTGTCCCACCCAATTAGTTGGGTAGTATTCATGATTAATGTGATTAAGGAGTGTTACCATTTGATATTGTACAATCCAGCATTCCAGTTTTCCAAGAGACATGCGTCTGCTCCGAACCGCTTCATTGCTTCTGGTGTGCAGTGATCATAGATTATAAATTCTTTAGAATCTTCCCCACACCTTTCACCTTCCCAACAAGAGAGGGTTGATACCCCGTCTCCACAATGCCCTTACACATCTCCCACGCGCCCCGTCCGTCTTTCTTGTGCACATCCCCTTTCTGAATCGGGTAATCGACAGGCGGCGGTATATGTGTTTGAACTAATGGGTACCGATCCTCACAGACCGCCTTCATATTGCACAAATTCTTCAACCCTTCTGCCCCGCCAAATCGGCCATACCCACTGCCTTTTACTCCCCCAAATGGCAGTCCCACGGCATAGTATGTGGCAAAGTCATTCACGGAGACCATCCCGGCCTTGATTTGCGAAACGCACTTCTCGACATCCCTTCGATTATGCCCGAAAACGCTCGCACCTAGCCCAAACTCTGTGGAATTTGCTATTCTAATGGCATCAGGAACGTCCTTGGCTGGCATAAGGAGGAAGACGGGTGCAAATAGCTCGGTGCGTGCGATCCGCATTGTAGTAGTCACATTGGCTAGAAGCGTAGGCGTGAAATAATGCCCAAACGGATATTTCGGGTGGCTATGGCGTTTGCCGCCATGGATGAGATGCGCGCCTTGATCCACGGCTTCAGAGATCAAATCTTCTAATTCGTCGAATGTCTTCTGAGAGACCATGGCTCCCATGTCGGGGGTTGAAAGTCCCAGCCCCGGATTCTTTGAGTATTCATTCGATTCAAAGAGCACGGATCCGAGGCGGAGTGCTTTTACTCTAGGGGTGACGGCTTCCAGTATTTTGTCATAGGTTCCAGGGAGTGCGATAATGCGTTCAATTCCAACACAGTTTTGGCCAGCGGATTGAAAAACCCCCCGCATGAGAATGGAGGTAATACTAGGAAGGCCCTTGATGGTGGCTGGATCGTCGAGAATAACAGCAGGATCTTTGCCCCCGAGTTCCACAGTGACAGGAGTGAGTGACTTGGCGGATGATTTGCAGACATGGTGCGCAACAGCTCGGGAGCCAATGAAAATGATATGGTTCACGCCATGATGAGATGTTAAACTATCTGCTTCCTTAGGAAGACAAACGACTGTCTGAACCAGGTCTTCAGGATGCCCACAGCTAGCAAGTGCTCCTCGTATGAGATCACGAAAGTAGAGGGAGCTCCAAGCTGTATGTTCAGAGGGCTTAATAATGATAGAATTTCCAGCAAATATTGAGCTAATAACCGGTGAGATCAAGTTGTGGAAGGGGTAATTCCATGATATGCAGGCCAAGATGACACCAAGCGGCTCATAACGAACGGTGTTTCTTTTGTACATCATAAGCAGATTCGTGGGTCGGCGGTCGGTCGCAAGGGATTTCTCTCCGTGGTCAATAGTCCATTTTAGCTTCTCAACCGTAACCAAGATCTCGCCAAACGCGGCATCAACTTTCGTTTTT